AACATAAATATTAAAATATCTGCATTTGGAAATAAAACTTAAGGAAATTAAACTACTAATAGAAGTCGGTTTATTTTTGGATATTTTTTATAGCGTTTCACCGATATAACATATCACTAAAAAATTTCATCTTCAGAAAATACATAACCACAAATGAGATGCATTTGTTTGTCTTTCTAATTGTCGCCGGTTTGTTGCCGATCTAGGGATGAAATTGATTTTACCAAAAGCTTCCATGTGAATCAATGCTAGTCCAAAATGAATTTTTGGTTGCGCCAGTTTCACATTTGCTTATCCATAGTTGTTCTCTTATAGTACATATTTAACTGTAACTTTTATGAATTAATATCCTCTCTTATAAAAAAATTTATACTCTAATTTGGTCTCTTTTAAGGAGAGAACAATTCCACATTTTTCCTCTTTTGTTGAGACTTGAGAGAATGCATCCACCCAATTCGTCTTTGTACCTTTGTCATCTTTTTTTTTTGGAATGATTTGTAATAAATTTTGTTTTGTTGGCAAAAGTGTTGGTAATGAGAATTATATTTGACGATAAGTTGGTCTTGGATTTCTTAAAAATTGTATTCCACTGACTTTTTTTTTCAGGTGTTTCAAAGATACAAAAAAAAAACTTCGAAACCCGTTGCATTTTAGATGATCAACGTTCATATCCGTTTATGGACCGTGTACTTTCGTTCATATAAAACTATTTTGTTAATAAACTTACTGAATTTATATTGGGCCAAGAATGACATATAAGCCTAACTTATCACGGCCCATTATTAGCCCAATAATCCAAACTTAGCCCTTTTCTTCCTTCTTCCCCAAAATCCATAAACCCCTGAAGAATAAAAAAAACCCCTAATTGCTTCCGGCGAAGATTCCGATCGTATCTGAGTGTACTGAATTGAAGTTTTCCGAGAGAACCACCGGAAGCTTCCGGTGCAAATCGTAAGCTTTCTTTTTCTATTCCAATTAAACATCTTTTTAAGCGAAATGAAATGTTTCATTCCGATTGTGATGTTTCTTTGTCTTCTGCGAGGAAGATGACGAGAGAAGAAATTGAGAAGAGAGGAGATGATACGATGATCGATATAGCAG